CCCCCCAACTATATTATACCGCACCTCTCTCCACTGGTCATACCCGTAACGCCCACTAATACACAAAACTCTGTAACTCCCACAAGTTTCATTCTTTGCTTTTCTTTTTTCCCTTTTTCCAAGTTAAGCTACACACAACACAGAAACATGGTTTCTTCTTTGAGGCTAACTTTTACACTTGCTTCCCTGTTATGCCTTGTTTGGCTGCTCACTATTTCATCTCCGGCAACAGCTTCCTTCACTTGCCTTTCCGGCGGAACCTGTGACGCCATTATTGACTACACTTTACCCAACGCCACCACCTATAACGCCGTTAAAAAACTGTTCCATGTCAAGAACCTCCGTTCCCTCCTCGGCGTTAACAACCTCCCTATCGACACCCCTGCTGATCAAAAACTCCCTGCTAATCAAACCATCAAAATCCCATTTCCTTGTCTCTGTAGAAACGGTACCGGAATATCCAACAAACGACCCACTTACACCGTCGTATCCGGTGACTTCCTCTCACACATCGTCTCCGATATCTTCGCCAATTTATTTACCGTTCAGGAACTCCAGACGGTTAACAACATAACCGACCCGAATGTGATACAACCCGGAGATAAGCTGTGGGTCCCACTGCCTTGCAGCTGCGATGACGTTGACGGTGAAAAGGTTGTTCATTATGGTCGCCTTGTGGCCGCTGGCAACACCGTCGATGACATTGCTCAGCAGTACAATGTTTCCCAGGATACACTTTTGAAATTAAATGGTTTATCAGATCCGAAAGAACTTATAGCTGGCTCTGTTCTTGATGTTCCCCTTAAAGGTACTCCTTTTTAACTGCTATTATATTTGCCTTTTCATTTCCTGAACCCCACTTTTAGTAATTTGAGAGGAAGTTGCAGAAAGTAAGAACTTTTTACCTGAGAGTCAGTTTGGGGAAGAAAGTTAAAGACATATTAACGTGTTTTCAACAACTGAGATAAGCTTCATTTGATTTTCAAGGTGTAATATTTTTTTTCAAGTATGTTGATTGCTACAGTGCTAAATAGCGTTTATTCCAAATTTACTTGGAAGATGCATGTTCTGCTATTTTATATGTATTGATTTTGCTGTCACATATGGGGATAAAAGAATAGGCAAAATCATAAACAAACTTTGCACCTTGGAGGTTTGCTTTAAGTTCTGTGGTTGTCTTTGCATATGTTGGCTAATGTTTATTGTGATTTCTCACTAGTCGCTGCCTTGTATTCCCGTAAACTCTGACCATCTCGTAATGTTGAATTGACATATGTAGTAGCAACACACCTTAGTCATTCTTTTAGTCCCTAGGCTATAGATACTCCTGGACTCTGGAGTTCAAGAGCCCTGTGGGCTGGTGTCACAAGAGTGTTTCCGATCTGTATAATCTGATTGACATTTCACATGGCCCATTATACTTAGAAGCATATGTCAAATGAATCATCAAGTTTTTCCATTTTCTGAATGATGGAATAAACTAGTTTGTGGTTTTACTAGTTTTGAAGATGCTTGTTTTCCTATACTTAAAGTAATCATCATGTCTTGAAAAGCAGAATAACTGAGTTAAAAGAATATACCTATGCATGGATAAAAGACCATGAGAAAATGATATGAGAAGATTGATTATCAAGATTGCTAGTGCTAGTTTTGTATATCATTCATTGACCGTATTTTGGAATTTCTTCTGGCTGGTTGCTGCTGCATAGTGGAGGACTAATAATAGCACGTCTTGTTGAAACATGTTCTCAACAAGCAAATCATAACCAGATCACTGATGTTCCAATAAGAGTATCATAAGTCGACCCCTCTTTCAGATTGAAGCTATGATATACCAGCTCATTTAGTCACTGTGTATTAGAAGATGAGTACCTTTCTGTTAAGCAGAATTAGATAGTTTTCACGGAAGCGCTTGTGTATTGAAACTACTAATTTTCAACATGCTCATCTGAAAATGGCACACATTGGTCACACAGGGTTAGCTGGTTCTGGTTAAGATAAAGAAATTCAGCAATGTCTGACCAATTGAATGTTAAATATGCAAGGTTGCATAATAGAGGGAAAATAACGTAAATAAGGTACTTATAATAGCGAAATGAAAATTGCACTTTTCTCCAAGAGTACAGTCAGGTATAAGTCTACTTCCAAATTGGTTGATTTCAAAATTGTGTGGATGTGTGTATTTGGCCTATACCATGATTACCATGATGGTGAAGTGTTTGATTTGCAGCTTGCCAATCAATGGTGAGCAATACCTCACTGGACTATCCTTTGCTCGTCCCAAATGACACATATGTCTTCACTGCTGCCAATTGTGTAGCATGCAAGTGTGATGCTGCAAAAAACTGGACGTAAGTTGCTGAACTGATGATATTGATTTTTCACTTCTTTTTACACTTTGACTCCCAGTAATCTAATCTTGTTGCATCATACGTCCTTTTTCCCAACCTGCTTGCCCAGCTTGCAATGCCAACCATCTCAGATAAAGTCCTCTCTTTGGAAGTCATGCCCCTCGATGCAGTGCCAAGGTCTGGATAGCTTTTACATTGGGAATGTCACGTCTTCAGATTGTAATTCCACAGGTTGTGCTTATGCTGGTTACAGCAACCAGACCATTTTTACCACAAGCACTCAGTCAACTTGTCCTGGTGAGTTTATGCAGTTTCTGAGCTGCCCATGACACGCTACACTTATGTGCTTAACTGAGACATGCTTTTGTCGTTTGTACAGCCAATACTGCTTCTGATATGAGGCCGGGGACATGGAGGTGGAATATCATCCTGGTTGCTATCCATCTGGCGTTGCTATCTGCTTCTTATTTGAGATAACTCCACGGTTTATAGGAGACTCTACATGGTGATGTCTGTAAAAGGGTGTAGGTTTTTTAATTTATAGTACTAGCATTTATGCTGCTGGGGACAAATCTTCAGTTCTTCCACGAACATAAGTAGTTCCTCTTTAGTAGAACATCATTTAGACAAACCTTTCTCTTCTCCCTACTTTAGACATGGTTCTTCTGTTGTCATTTTGTCTGTCTTCAGGATTTTCACCGTTAAATTTGGCATTTCTTTTGGTGAGCGTGTACCACGTTGGTTCATTTCTTTTAGATTATGTGAACAATTTGTGAAAAAGAAAGTTTGGAATTTTAAGTGTGTGTTGGATGCTCAAAGAGAGCACTTTAGCTTTGTAGGGAAAGAAGTTGTTATAGAAGCACTTCCCCTAAAAGATATTACCCTCAGTGGCGGAGCCAGAATTTTTATTAAGGGGAGTCAAACTATAAAGAAATAAACTCATTAAGAAGTTAATGAATTTTTATTAAGGGGAGTCAAACTATAAAGAAATAAACTCATCAAGAAGTTAAGGGGCGTCACTGAATATATACATATTTTAAGATAAAATTACCAAGCTAAACAATATAATTTTCCGACGAAGGGGTGTCGGTTGACATCCGTTGGGTGCATGTTGCTCCGCCACTGATTACCCTCCCAATCAATGATCTTTTTTGGAGGAGGAAAAAAGATTAGTCGAACCAGAGCAGCATTAGTAGTATGGTTTGCAGAGTAGTATCAGTAAAATTTGTCCTTGTTTTAAAATGATTCGATAGACCGTAGTAGGAAACAATTTCTTATTATTGATGTTAATCGTTGTGAGGCATACAAGTGTCTTTTTGATTTTTTTTTCAAAACACAATTAGATAGTAACTCACTTTTATTTTCACCAAAAAGACGGAAAACCAGCAAAATGAGTTTGGTGGAAATATAAAATGAAAATAACTTAGAGGTCGTTTGGTAGCTGGTTAGAAGAAAGGTTATTCATGTATAAGGGGTAACATAACTTATACCATGTTTGGTAGGTAATAGTTATTTTGTATAAAATTCTGCATAACTAATACCATGTTTGGTTGACATTTTTCAATTATGCATAAATAATACATGTATAAGTTATGAGTCAATCTGTGTATTATTTTATGCGGGGTAGAAGATGGAATAACTAATACATGTATTAGTAATACATGGATAAAATACTGAAATGACAAATTTACCCCTATCACTTTACACATAAGGCTTCCTTATTTCTCCGCCAACCCGTCAACAGGTTTCACTTGCTTTCACTTGCCAACTATATACCTTGTCTTCTCTCATTTTTAAAGAACAAACTAGCAAAAGCAAACTAGAGAAGCCACTAGAAAATGGAAATACCAAAACTAAGAAGTGAAAATCAAATATGTCTAAACTTCACATAGTTCAGTAGTATGACGAAGAAGTGAAAGTAACACCCAAAGTTCCTAACTAAATTGTTTCCTACATAAATGGAAAGAGAGAAAAAACAATGCAAAAGAAGGCCAGGGGTATAGTTGTAAACAAGCATTTTACTTTAAAATTTATATAATGTATATCAATTTCTAATACAACAAACCAAACATTCAAAAAAATAATCTCTGCATAACTAATACCTGCATAACTAATCCCTGCATTACTTATCCCTGCATAACTAATCCCTGCATAACTAATACATGTATAACTAATACCTGCATAACTCTAACCGGCAACCAAACGACCCCTTAGTATATCCAGATTCAGACACCAATATTTTTAACATACCTTTTGTTTGAGGAAACTACAAATGGATGCGTGGGTTTTCTTTCTAGTTATTGGAAAAAAAAAAAAAAAGAAGAGGGCAATACTCCTTTTAAAAACTAACGTGACTATTATTAAATAATATATTTGAGTTATTGAACAAAAATTTAAGAAAAAATGTTAGCTCATAATAATGAATGTTGATCCAATTTTGCTTGTTCACTAAATAAAGAAATCTTGTCCAATAAAAGTCTACTAAGAAAACTTTGGGAATATATTATAAAANAGGCCTGACATAACTTTTTCCGTTAATGTCTTAGCAAGATATAGCTCTGCTCCCACAAGGAGACGTTGGAATGGGATCAAACACATATTGCGGTATCTAAAAGGGACTACCGATATGGGCTTATTTTATGGCAATAATTGCACTCCTGATCTTGTTGGTTATGCCGATGCTGGATATTTATCTGACCCACACAAGGCTCGGTCTCAAACAGGTTATGTGTTTACCTGTGGAGGCACTGCCATATCTTGGCGATCGACTAAGCAATCAATTGTGGCTACTTCATCTAATCATGCTGAGATAATTGCTATTCATGAAGCAAGTCGAGAGTGCGTGTGGTTGAGGTCTATAATACATCTTATTCGAGACAAATGTGGTTTGAAATGTGACAAGTTACCCACAATTTTGTATGAAGATAATGCAGCATGCATAGCTCAATTGAAGGGAGGATTCATTAAAGGAGATAGAACAAAGCACATTTCACCAAAGTTATTTTTCACACATGATCTTCAAAAGAATGGTGATATCAATGTGCAACAGATTCGTTCAAGTGATAATATGGCTGATTTGTTCACCAAATCTCTACCGACGTCAACCTTCAAGAAGCTAGTGTACAAGATCGGGATGCGAAGGCTCAAGGATGTGAATTGATGCTCTCATCAGGGGGAGTTAATGCGCGTTGTACTCTTTTCCCTTACAAGGTTTTGTCCCGCTGGGTTTTCCTTGCAAGGTTTTTAACGAGGCAACCAAAAGGCGTATTGTTAGATATGTGTACTCTTTTTCCTTTTCTAGAATTTTTTTCCCATTGGGTTTTCTTTTAGTTAAGGTTTTAACGAGGCATATTATCTGTTGAATAGACATTCAGGGGGAGTGTTATAAATAGAATTCTATTTATGGTGAATGTCTATATTTAGAGAGATTCTAGGGTTTATTACTTGGTGGCTAAGTCACCATCTCCCTATAAATAGAGGGTTCTATTCCATTGTAATTCATCCCAAAAATTCAATAAGAATTTTCTCTCTCTCTTTCTCCGCAATATTGCTCTTGTTCTTTTATTATATTAAAATGCTATCGGATATTTAATTCTAACAAAGTCCTTTTTGTTTAATTTTAACTAAGATATTTGATAATTTTTTCTTTTGAATAAAATACAGATTATTAGATAAAGTTTGATTTCCACATCTGTTTAAATATTACCTCTCTAGTAATGATGACGTAAAAAGTCTATCCCCTGTTCTTATGTTTATAATATTACCTTATAAGTAATATAGAAATACATACAAATATAAGTGGAAAGTTATTTCACAATATTTATGTCATATTATATTATGGACTGTCATATGTTTTCAATTTTTTTTAAATTTATAAGAAGTTGAAGAGACGTAACTCCGGTAACCTTGGCAACCACATGTTAGAAAGTAATGTCTTCTATTACTTCGCCACTTTGGTAATGCATCGATCTTAAAGCAGGAATACCACACCAGGAAGGATCAATTAATTACCCATAAATCACGAGAACTACATACTCATTAATCATTGACATAAAAATAACAATTTAGACCAAAAAGATGTTAGTAGACTGTATTTGTAAAATAATTCTGGAAATATAAATGAGTATAAATAGAAATGAACATAAACAGAAATGACATAAAACCAATTCGAGCCCACTGAATTCACAGTGTTTCCTTAAGGAATTTAATCCCCTCCTAGTACCCAAGGTTATGGATTATTTCCTCCCAGGATAGAACGAATTACACACTGGTGTAATGGTACTTCAAACCCCAGTGTTTCAGCGAACACAAAGTTCGGTAGCAAATCACACTTACTTTTTGCTTTGTTTGATGCTAAAAGTATGCAGAAGAAGGAGAAGAAACTCAGAAAATCGTAGTGAAATTCTGAGCAGAATAGTGTTGTATTTATAGCCAAAGTTAGGCTGAAATCTGAAGAGGTGCAACTCTTCAGAATGGCTGTTTATGCAAAACGCCCACAGCATAAATGCCATTACATAAATGGCCATTTACTCAATAATAAAGAGGAAAAATAAAGAGGGAAAATTGAAGAGGGTAGTTACTTTTCTGTTACCAAAACAGAAAAACGGATTGGATTTAATATTAATATTTAATATTAATATTTTGTTATTAAAACAAATATTTAATAACATTTCTGTTAATATTTCGATCATTTGACCAAATCCGAAGCCGAAGCCGAAGCCGAAGCCGAGCGAGCGACGACGACGACGGCGCGAGGCTTGCCTTCTTCTCAACTCTTTAAGAGCTAGAAGAAGAGCAACTGCTTATATACCCATAAAAAACCTCTTCCTCTTCCAATATGGGACAATGCCCATTTGCCAAGGGGGAAACTTAAAATTTCATTCAAAAATTTTATTACCCTCCATTTCCCATTCACCCTCTTTTAAGTATTTAATATATTAATTAAACACATCCAAAACCCAATAATTATTGCTATAAATTTATACTCCGTATAAAAAATTATAGGTTTAGTTACTTAAACCTGTAGCATAAAGGCTACATCTGTCTCTATCAACTTATCTGTCGGTGATAGAATGCAATAATTCTTTTCTCCCACTTGCGTTTAGAACTTTTGGGAATTATTTATTCATCTTTTTTTTGGAGTGAAGTAGCTTTTCTAAATTAGAAATTTGAATTTCCATTTTGGAACTTGCAATTTTCAGCCTTACTATGCAGAAGGATAAAGCTATATACGAACCTTATCTTTACTTTTGCTGCTGCATAAGTCGTTGCCGTATATTCATTCTGTCATGACCCGGATTTTTTACTGTCGGAACTGTGATGGCGCCTAACTTTTTGGATACTAGACAAACCAACAGCTAGAGATTTAATATGCTAACCCTTGACCAAATCAGTAAGTAACAACAATTAAACCAAAACAGATTAAAAGTGTGCAAAATTTCATAATAATCCAAGTACTTATACACAACTACCCATAAACTGGTGTCACAATTCACGAAATTCTAAAGTCACTACAGATAGTGGCCGAAAGAAAATACAATTGCCTTTGAATTAAAAGAAACAGTAAACTAGAATAACTGGAAGGGGACTCCAGGGTCTGCGAACGCCGGCAGTTCTATCTTGAGTCTCCTGTAGGACTGAAGGCAGCAACTCAACTCGGGTCAACGCGGTCCAGTACCGAAATCTGCACAGAAAGTGCCGAGTGCAGTATCAGTACAACCGACCCCATGTACTGGTAAGTGCCGAGCCTAACCTCGGCGAAGTAGTGACGAGGCTAGGACAACACACATACATAAACC